ATGTGAATCTCCCCATCCAATTTTTACACGATGACACACATTTCGTGTGTTTTATGTGAGCAGTTCTGTTCGAACAGTTGGAGTAGAGAATATTGTAAGTTACTGCTAGCAAAACAATGCGAAATATGTAATTATTTTCGGTAATCTGGACACTTTTGGTAATCTGACACACCTTTGGTCCCATACCTGTCGGATTATCAAGGGACAACTGTATTACATGACTTGCATGTAGTGATGTTTTTCTTGTCAGTAAATCATGTCAACTATGTTACAACCCAACTGCTAACAATTAATTTAACTTCTTCAATGGTACAAATTTATCATCCTTGTCATTAAATAACAATTTTATGCAAAATTTATTACATTGCACTGTTAGAAAAAATATTTTGAAATGCCACAACTGTCATACAAAAACTAAAGATGAAAGAATTTCTGATTGTATTATTGAAATTGAGTATAAAAATTTACAAATGACAAAAAATTGTTTAAATCACTACACTAATAAACACATCAAAATATATTTCAAACAATAAAATTTGAAAATTATCTATAAAAATGAAATTAAAAGTAGGCAATTAATAGGAATACTCTTAACAGCTTAAATACAAAATCATAATTTTATAAAATTTATACAATTAAAAATTGATTGGTTTCTAAATTATCTTTTATATCAAAACTACAAATTTCCATTAATTAAATTTTTTCTTCTTGTTTGTGACTGTAGTTAGATTTTCACAGATTAGATTTTATAGTTGATTTATTTTTTCATAATTTTTGAAGTTTTACTATCAAACACTTTTTTCATATTCAAAGCTATTGAGCATATATTAGAGGAACAGAAAGAGCTTTTACAGTGGATAAAATTTTTCTTAAAAGATGTTCCATCCTTCAAATCAATTTTCAATTCTTAACTTCATGTTTCTTTGCTGTCTGTTCTATTAATTCCAATTTCTTTTCTTATTCCAGTCTAAGGAAATTTCTGTTGTTCTAATTAATGAGTGGAATGTTTCCACTTTTTATGTTTGAAAAAACCTTGAAAACAAAAAAAAACTGTAGAAATTTTATAAATTTCTGATATTGCATTTATATTGTTTTGGGGCAAAGTGTATAATGTTTCCTTTGAACTTTACTTGTACATAACTGTAATTGGGCTGCAATTTGAAAAAATTGTAGACCTATAAATTCCCACTGTTGTCTGTCTGTTTATCCTTCCTTAATCTTGAGAATGGAGTTAGATAGATGAAAGTTGAGACCAGATATGGAAAGCTTAGAGGTAGGAGACCCTGATTAACTATATATGAACTTCCAGTTTGGACCAGAAATCACATTACAGTGGGTGATCGGTTAACGAACAAATCGGATAACGAACACTTTCGCGAAAGATTTTTATGATCGGACAACAAACACATGTTTGGATAATGAATACTTCACTGAACAAACACAAGAAGAAGCAATGTAAAATAACGAATACCGATTGGTCTTCCTTTGTCTTCAGGCAGCAATTCAAAACTTTTTGGAGTGCGAGAGACATCGACATCGACATTCAACCCAGTATATACTGATCAGATAGTTTTTTGAACCGAAAACCGAATTTTGAAACTCTCCCTTGTAATTCCAGCCTTTTATATTTCTGATAGAAACGATTATTTTATATTTTCTTCTGAAAAAGCGGATTTATGCCGATATCTGCTATTAAAGATCTTTTGAGGAAGTGGGAGGGTGTCAGAACAACGGTCTTAAAATGGCATCCAAACCAGCTTGAGATTAATAGGTTTAGGGATCTCTACAATTACAACACGATTAATTACTTTTGAAAAATCATGAGGAAGACAGAAAAGTAATCGACATTGGACAGATTCTTTAACCCCCACAAACGGAAAAAACACGACAAATAAAAATGCAAGACCGCGTATATATGTATTTTTATTATTACATATGAATAAACGTAGTAAGAAAATATATATTTTTTATTTTTTGGGAGTCTCCAGAACGAATTAATCAAATTCCCATAGAAACCTATGATAAATCGATAATAGGTTAATGAAAAATTTGGATAGCGAACAAAGTCTTGGAACGGATTATGTTCATTAACCAATCACCCACTGTATTTCAATTCAAAAATTTACCCCTGAAAGGAGTTAGATAGATGACCAGCACAACTCTATTTCTAGCAGGAAAGTATGATGTACAGGGGCAAGACACTAATTTGAGATGGAGAGCATATATTTTAAATTAAATAAATTAAAAATATAATTAAAAATTGCAGCCTGGCATTGTGATGATGTTGCAATAAATAATTNTAACGGACTTTTCACTTAACGGACGTGCACCTGGAACGGATTAAGTACAGTACATTATACGAGGCACCACTGTATTCTCTAAAAGTTTTATGAAGAACTCAATACATTCATTGCAATTTGTATAATTTTAGAATTTATATAAACTACTATATTTTCATGTGTATAATCTACAAACCCCACAGAAAATTTCTAGAATGAAAATAAAGCCTTTGCATGACTTGCCCTCCACCATATACTCCACACCTATGGAGCAGTTGTTGTTCCATAGGCATGAGGCATGTTTTGGTATAACTTTTTAATTACAATTTAAAAACTGTATATAACTTACACCATCCCATAACCTGGTCACCCTTTTAAAAATTGTCTTTTAAACACAGATAATCCATGGGTAATTTGCATGAAAATATGGTACTCAAAAGGCATGTTACTATAAAGGGTATTAGATAATGATCATTTAGCAGAATTATTTAATAGCTGTGTAGAAATTTAAAGGACATCATGGATATATTTAAACTAATAAAAATAATACTGATCCATCTGACAGATGAATTGTTTTTAAGATACAAAAGTAAAACAAATTATTAATGTGAATCACACCTGTTAACTTTCAAATGTTAAAACTAGGAATTATATATTTTAAATTAAATAAATTAAAAATATAATTAAAAATTGCAGCCTGGCATTGTGATGATGTTGCAATAAATAATTTCTTGTTAAATATTGCAAATATTTTCATTTAACTAAATACACTTCTTCAGACTTTAAAATTACAGAACAGCTTTTATAATTTAATAAATTGTTCTGTAATTTAAAAGCCTGAAAAAGTGTGTTTAGTTTGATGAAAGTATTTATAATTTTTAATTAAAATCGTTTTAATGTTGTTTGATGTGAATTTTTGTTGAACTATTCCATAACACTTCCACATACACTCACAAGTCAGACTCATTGATTATTATACAACATATACATCTTATTGCTGAGAATCATTTTTACTATTTTAACTAATGTTTTCAACCTGATCAACAGGCCATCATTCTAGTAAACTGATCAGGTTATCAGTTTACTAGAACATTTACAATCATTCTATAATCGAACCAATATGCAATAACAAATTCGAATTTAAAATGGTTCAAACATTTCATTAAAAATCAAAATATAAAATATAAATAATATAAATATTCCATAACAGTTAATTTAATTTTGATATTTTTAAAATGAGTAGAATTAAGGATTAATTTAGATTATATTAATTTGTATTAGAATCATATTTATTTCTGTTCAAAACAAGATTTTTATTATTTGAAATGCCATTTAATAAATTATTGATTAATTTAGTTACTACTACAAAACAAATATTTGAATTTTTATTTTGTAAAAACCAACAAATATTTGAATAAAATCAATCATATAAGACATTGATACAAAATTACAACTTAAAGGAAATTAAGTTTAGAAACAAAAATTTCTTTTTATTAAGAAATATTTCTAGCCTTAGGTTATCAAAGATTTAGTTAATAAAGAGTAAATTTTGATTTCCTAAACTTAGCAATTTATCTTTTAGGTTTCAAAATATAAATATAAATTTTTAAAATTTTATTCTTAATACTTATGTAAAATATATATATTCTTAATTATTTCTTAGTGTTATGAAAATATTACCTTATATAAAGAATAAATTTTTTTTCAAGGACAAACTAATTCTAAATCAGCTGTAACTTGTATCAACCACTTATCTATAAGCACAAGGCCATAAACTCTTTAGTATGCACAGCATATTTTTAACTTCTACATCACATCTAATACAAAAAGAGTTAAACATCATTTGATTAACAGTGATAGCATCAGAGTATTGAGTCTAAATTTAAGTACATACATAGTAAGGTCCACAGATCCTTGTTTTCTTCTACTTATAGATATAAGAGACTATCCTATAGTTTTAATATATAAGAGATGCATCCTCCATCTCTTGTGAGTTACTTTAAAACTCATTGCACTCTTTATGAAGCATGGATACTTTAAGATTGGCAGTTGCAGATAGTAAACCCCATGAACTTTTAGAACATTTAGAATTTATGGTATTCCAATTTCTCATCCTACCCGAAGTTCTATTTCATTGTCATTGGGGCAAGTTTGAGACAAATAAAAAAGCAGTTATGTGAATACCAAGAGTCCATCAACAAAGGCCACATCAGCACTAAACTTTTCAAATGATATAATCAACATTGAAATAATGCCACCCTACTTAAAAGCATATTCAATTCTAAACAGAGTTTTATTTGGGAAATCTTGCTCATAAGGCAGTTAAAGCCTATAAACAAGCCAATGTTATACCTTCCAGATTTCTCATTAATTCTACATAATTTCTCTATTAATTTTAAGTATTTTTATCTATTTTATCTTAATTCTTAATGCCTTTTAACAGAAATTCCAATTGGTTGTTTTGAATTATTTCTATTATTTGATCTGCAAGAGCTTTGCACATTTTAAATGTTGTGTTTTAAAGCTAACTTTCTGGTGACTATATTTTTAAATATGTCAAACACATTCAAATCTTATTTATTAAAGTGGATGATTTTAACACTAAATATTGTGATTAACTTATGTTTATAATTCTAAATTTTTTAGTTGTATATTTTAATTCTGTATGTATATATTATAAAATAAATTTACAAATAAATGTTCATTTATTTTATCTTTCAGATTGTACTTCTCTCACTTGAAAAAAATAAAATGGATTTTCTGAAGACATAAGAAAAAAAGAAGTTATTTGATACATCTATAATAAAAAAAAAAGAAACAGATAGGCAGCTTTCTTGTATAAAAATGGAACATTTAAATGAGAAAAAGTTCTCAAAGTAATGAAGGGTTTTAAATTAGGAACTAAGTTGATGTGCTAACATAAATAATGGCATACTATATTCAATCATCAGATCATCCTGTTCATCTTTCAGGAATATCTGAGAATGTTAAATCACAAAATATACTGCCTTCATTTACTACATATTCTTATTCTCCCATTCAATCAACACTGCCACAGTATGGATATAAACATCCATCAACAAGCACAATTGATTCACTGCCACATAGGGAGATTACAGATCCTAATTTATCATTTTCATCAGGTTGTAGAAACAAACAGTCTGTTTTGAGAAATAATTTCTATGCAAATTCAGATTTTGTATTTTCCGTCCCTCAATCTATAAACTATAATTCAGAGAGTAACAACATTCAAACATTTCAGAATTCATCGTTGACACCATTAACATTACATCAGGGGCAGTCTCAGCATAATGAAAATTTCCATATAAAAAACCCTTCATATCTTGATCATAACTATTGGAAAATACCTTCTAAACAAAATTATGATATGGGTCAATTAGAGCAGATTGAATATAATAAAAATAAAAGAAATTTTATTCAAGAAGAAAGTATTAATCCTACATTACATACAATTAATACCAGTACTAATTTTATGCATCCAAATAATATGTCTTATAACAGCATTTCTCCTTATTCTACAGAAAAATGGCAAGACCATTCAAAACTAATGTATGATTATTATTCTTTTCCACATAGTTATTATGATCCTTTTAAACCAGAACAAAAAGTATCTGAATCATCTAATTTAAGTAATCAAAATTTAACTTCATTTTCTCCTCAACATTTATTGTATTCAGAATCACATAAAATGAAATTACAGCAAAGAATTCCTTTGTCCACTTCATCTAATTTTTCTTCTTCCAAGAATTTATTCCAATCTACTCAAAGTTTATTGGATCATTCAAAAACTACAGTGAAATGTATTTCTACAAGTTCAAATCAAACAACTGATTCAAATTCATTATTTATGTCAAAATCAAATCAAATTCCAAATTATTCTGTTCAGTTCTCAGATACATTTAAAAATTTTTCAAATTCAGAACCAATGTGTCTAGTTTCATCATCATTAAAAAATTCAGAAACTAATACAGTTTCAGATCATTATACAAAATCTGTTACAGATGTTAAAAATGAATCACATCTCAATCAAGATATAAAAGACAAATGTTCATCAAATGAAAATATAAATTCTCTTAAAGATACTGTGCTGAAAACTCCTGTTGAAAGTTCCTTTGAGCCCTTATCAGATTCCAAAAATAAAGCTGCAGAAAACAATACAATTGTATCTAATTCTGATAATTCTTTTACACCGATTGAACAAAGTTTGACATGTGAAAATGAGTCAGAACGACAAGAACGTCTAAAAAATAATATTAAGGTTGAGGTGCCTCAGTGTGGTTGTTTTGGAAATGAAGAAAGTAAGTAATTATGCAAAGAATTGATTATTTGTAGTAGTTTTAAATATTAAGTTTATGCAATTATAATTTACATTAATATAAATATCTAAACTAATGATTATAATTTATAGGTAAATAATTTATTGATCTACAAGTATCAAATAGCTGTAAACATTTTTCATATTGTATTCAATTTATTCGATTGTATTAAAGAAATTTTAAATAAATAATAGGATTCCAAAATGTTTGAATGCAAAATGATATAGAATTCTTTAAAAGTAAATGTTTTTTATTACAGTGGAACCTTGCTTAACAAGCATAATTCGTTCCAGAATCTTACTCATAATGAGAAACACTAGTTAAGTGAAACAATTTTTCCCATATAAATTAATGTAAAATATGATAATGCATTCCATGTCAAAAAAATACTCAAATATTTTATGTATAATGTTTATTTAAAGAAAATTATAAAATATACATTGTTAAGGAGCATGAATCATCTTCATATTTTCTTCTAGCATGGAATGTTTCAACCTTGAATGCGAATTTGATTTGCAGAAAACAAAAAAATTCACAGATAATATGTCTGATAAACACACTAAACGATATGTCAAATTTTTGGACTATGTAAAGGCTATAATTAAATATTATAAATTAATTAATTTGACTAGAGGTAGGCAGTTATGGTTCCATCTCATATTAAATTTAATAATTATAAATAATTAATTTTTAATTTAGACATTTCTAAAAGTTAATTTGGAATTGGTCATTAAATTTAATACAAGATGGCAGCATAACTGCCTACTTCAAGTCAAATTAATTAATTTATAATATTTAATTATAGCCTTTATAAGCCCAAGAATTTGGCATATCATTTGGCATGTGTATTATATAAAGGGCTGTGGTTGTTGATGTTTTTATGTAATACATGTGAACACAAATTTGAACAAATGTGTGATCACAAGCAACACTAAGATGCTTGCGGAATGAGTGTTAAACATAGACTGGTGGAGCATGCACACAATCTGCGACTTACCCTCTCCTTGTCAATTATTATACAAAACGTCACTTATTAAGTGAGTCATCTTTTTACAATTTGTTTTGCTTGTTATATAAGGTGCTCGTTAAACGTGGTTCCACTGTAATCAAATTTAAGAAGTATTGTGTGCTAATTATTACTGAAAATGTTTTTAATCAAGCATTATGTCATTCTTATTCTACTTTGATCTAATCTTGGATGTATTAATAATTGGAATACTAAAGATTGTCAGAATTCAGTAAGAATTACTAGTATTTTTGGTTAGAAATTTTGATTAATATAAGTTGGTCCAAAACCTATTTATCAAATTAATGCTTTATTACAGCTGAACAGTAAAGTATAAAAATCTACTGAAATAGCATTGAAATCAGCATTTCAAGCAATTTATATTATTGTATGTTCAATGCATTTTGCATCATCATAAAGTACTATTGGAAAGGAATTGATTGGACTGAATATTCTTCAGATCTAAATTTTTAATATTCTTTTCATAGAGATATCTCAACGATGGAATGTATGAAATAGGACTTTCCTGTTTTTTCAAATTTTTTATTTCTGGAAAATCAGAATTCAATTTAATTCCTGCAGTGATGCACTCAGGATTTACTCTTGGGGGGCAAAGTTGAATGAATAAAAAAGTTTTTAATGCAAATTCAATAAAATTTTCGCCTTATATGATTGTTAATTCATAAGTAGTATAGAAACAGAAGACACCATAGAACATAAATAAAAAAATGAATTTTAATTAGGAAAAGGTTTTTGGAAAATTTTCTACTGTTTGTTTTCCCTTTTTCTTTGAAGGTGGTCAGGGTCCCTTGGCCATCCCTGGGTGTGCCACTGGATTTCTGGGTTTCTGAGAAATTCCTGGAAACAAAGGCAAATAAGGTAACCCTGCCGCAGTCTTTGTTACAAGAAGGAATTTTTAATTTTTATCTTAAGCACAGAATGTATAGAAGTCTTGTTGTATTACATTTTGCAAGTTGTAAAAATATATTATTTTGAGATTGGGTGTTTAAAGTGATGTTATTTATTAATTGTTTTTATTAAAAACTAGCTTACCCGTTGTGCATTGCGGCGATCTTAGAAGAAACGAAATTCAAGCAAACTCGTTATGATAAAATTAAATTTACATTTTATCATTTTTATTGAAACTTATTATTATTATTAATTTTCATCAGGAAAACATTTCAAAGTGTCATTTCAATTCTATTTATTTATTGGAGTGCTTGTAGATACACGATATTTTTTGTTTTTCTGTCTGGTGCGTACATGAATAAATCAGAAGGTTTTCCAACGCGTGAGTTGGCCACATACAGTTGTCTATGTGAGAAGCACGGATTATCCAAATCTAGCCCACACACTTGCAGCGATTGTCAGAAGTGCAATATTCCCCATTTTTATATATATATTTTAATCCTTTACAATTTTAATTATTTAATTGCTCCTTCCTCTCTTCCTTGGCATGTTGTGAAATTTCTGACAGTTGGATAATAAACCGTTTTATTGTAATTTGTCTTTTTAAATTATTTTGAGTCTATATTAAAATTTGGAAAAGGCGGGATACCTAGATCAGTAAAATAGGCAAATTTCCTCCTACGACTTCAATTGTTGTTCGGGATACAGTTAAGGTTTTAACGAAGTTCGAGCGAATACATAATTAGCAAAAAAAAAAGTTGAAATAAAGTGATTAAACAAAAATTATTACAAATATCGTAAATAACAAATGCATATATAGAGATATTTTTTGGAGGGGGGAAATGGTCTTCACAATTTGAAATTGATCGAACACACAGGACAGACAGTACTCGTATACACGCGTGCCTTCTATCGTAGGATAAATGTACTTTGCGGGAGTGTATTAAAAAACTTTCCAAAGTTTCATGGCAATTGTACTATGTCAGAAACCTTTGTGGGAGTATACTAAACAACTTCCCAAAGTTTCATGGCAATCGGATAAACGGTGTGGTAATGCATGAAGGACACACACACACACACACACTTTTATATATATAGATTACAAATGCTAGGTAGAAAATGAATTATACAGAATGTTAGTGTCATATGTAAATTTCAAAGTTAGTAGAGATCCAAGTACTTTTTTCTTTGATGATCCTAGTACTATTTATTGATGTGAAAAATATAATCCTAGAGCTCTGTGTTACCTTTATATGGACAGTTAACAGTGACTATTACACAAATATTCCAAAAACTTGTTTGCATGGAGCTATGAGGAAGAAAAGATCTGAATTGTTCAAGAAACAGTGATTTTTGCTCCAGGACAATGCCCTGTTACATATTGCTATTGCACTGGGACTTCATTGGGACACTCTCTTTATAGCCTGGACTTAGTGCCATGTGATTTCTATGCATTCCTAATGCTGAAAAAACAATTGTGAGGAAAATTCTCCTCAGATGATGAAGGTAAAAATGCTCATGGCTGCAATGTTAAAAGATCATAATTCTGTTACATGTCTGAATGGTTTTTGAAAATTTGTAAAAAAATGTATTGAATATGAAGGATGCTATTTTGAAAAACAAAAGTGTTTAGAGCCTGTGGAGGCATCCAATTCTGAATAAAAAAAATCAGTCTCATTACTTTTCAATCAGCCCTTGTATAATACTGTCATTAATGAAAATGTTCCAAATGAGCTTAAATGTCAAAGTCCCCTTGTAGAGCATTCTATACACTTAACCCCTTAAGTTCCCAGCAATTTTTTATATTAATTTAATTAAACATAAAAAATACTTAAAACTGAAAAAAAAACGAAAGAAATGCGTTAATTTTGAAGAAAAAGCTTCAAACTTTCTTTTCCTTTGTCTCGCCTTTCTGCGAAATTTGACACCAATGAGTCATTGTTTACACAGCTGGATGACCTTGAACACAGCTGGAGCCGGATTTCCCAGAACATTCTCAGAAGTCTCGGGAGGACAAGGGTTTAAAGTAGGGTGAGCTCTATCTCGCCATATATTTTAAAATATTTTTAAAAAATTCAAATTTTAATTGCAATTTCCAACCCCCGACTTAATTAAACATGTATATAATAAAATCTGTTAATTAAAAAAATTAAAAAACTATTGGAGGTGGTTTTTGACATCAGAAAGCAGCTTTAAATAACTTTACCGAAGAAAAATCCGTGCACTATGACTTTAGAACGATTAATTAATTTTGATAAAAAATCCCATTAAAAAACAATTAAGCCTTAATCGAGCCTTATCAAAGGCTATTAAAATTGCGATAAAATTTTTTGAAAAAATTTGGGGACTTAAAAAACATTCCAAAAATTCAAAAAAACAAAAATTTTTTGGGGGGGCTGAAAGGACCGAGTTTTATGTAAGGCTATGTAGCCTGCCCGAGTTAACTCGGGTGAAGAACTTAAGGCATTAAGATTAACATACTTAGTTTGCATTTTACTGTCTCATTTCCTACTAAAAATTCAATATATTTCTACACAATAGATTCATTAGGTCTTTTAGTTCTTGACAGTGTAAAAAATAATCAAAATTATAAAAGAATTTAATTTTAGTATTGTGACCAAAGGGTCGGCACCATGTTGGTGGTCCCTACATCAGGACTGACACCACTGTATCTTTTGGGGAAGACACAGAAACCCCTACAATCCCATTACATTGCTTCTTCACATGAGCAGTTGAGTGCATAGGTGGTCATGTTTGGGTTGGAGATGTCTAGAAACGTGACAGAAAGAAGGTGCTCTACTACAGGTCAAATAAAACTAATACCCATTTATTTACACAACGGATTATACACCTCTGACAAGAGTCACAAGAAAATTTAGGACTTCAGGATAATAATAGCGTGTCATTAAGCTTGAGAGAGTTTACAATTGATCGCAAGTTGCTAAATACCTAGGGTGGATGATGCTCAAAAGCGGTCTGATGCTTGTTGATTGGAGGAGGTTGACTCATTCAGGATCTTGTAGAAAAATTTCTTAATCACAGGAAATAGTTCATCTTCAAAATGCAT